AAAAAAAAAAAAAAAAAAAACAAGTTGCTGCACCATCAGCTGACACGTACACGTCACCACTTGTCCCCACCCAATATTTATGATATATAAAACTATAAAAGCCCATTAATAGATGAGAGAGAGAGAGAGAGAGAGAGAGAGAGAGAGAGAGAGATCAGAATCAGATATGGGTAGCAGAGACAGAGAGAGAAGATGGTCTCTTCAGGGATTGACTTCTCTTGTTACTGGAGGAACCAAGGGGATTGGGTTAGTTTAGTTAGCTTCTTCTTCCTCATATGCATGCAAAATTTTCTTTGTTTCTCCAAATTCTCCCCTGTTTATCTTCTTCCTTTTTTTTATTTTATTTTTTATAAATAAAAATAAATTATCAGGTATCAATTAGTTTTTAATACTTTATGTTAAATTGTTTATGCAATTAGGCGCGCTATAGTGGAAGAATTGGCAGGGCTTGGTGCAACTATTCATACTTGTGCTCGGAATGAAGTTGATCTCAATGACAGCTTGAGCCAATGGGAGAAGAAGGGTTTTCAAGTCACTGGTTCAGTGTGTGATGTGGTGTCAAGAACCCAAAGAGAGGAGCTTATAAACAAAGTCTCGTCATTGTTTGATGGAAAACTTAACATCCTTGTAAGTATAAGACCATAAATTCTAAGTACTTTTTGCTTTCTTGTTCTTTTATTAAAAAAAAGAAGTAAACGCTGAAAACCAAAAACAAAATGGACGCAATTTCTTTTTTAGAGTCACTTCACTGTATATTTGCTGAACTTTGAGTTAATTAAGGCATGCAAATTTAATGTATGGGTGTAGATAAACAATGTGGGAACAAGCATACTAAAACCAACGATGGAGTTCACAGCTGAAGATTATACATTTGTTATGAGTACCAATCTTGAATCTGCTTATCACTTCTGCCAACTTGCACATCCTCTGCTCAAAGCTTCAGGAGCCGGCAACATTGTTTTTCTGTCTTCTGTTGCTGGTGTGGTTTCGGTGGAAGTTGGATCTGCATATTCTGCCACTAAAGGTGCTTTGATTTCCTTACACACACACACACACACACATTTATATATATAATATAGGGTTTAGTACTTAGAAAAAAACCAAGAAACTTTGTGTTCTGCAATTGAAGAATTGACCTTAAATGTTGAAGTTTTCTGTTTTGTTTTTTTCAGGAGCAATGAATCAATTAGCCAAAAACTTGGCATGTGAGTGGGCAAAAGATAACATAAGGACTAATAGTGTTGCACCTGGGTTCACCAAAACTCCCCTCGCTGAACATGTAAGATGATCATATCCAGATCATGTGACTAATTTTGGATTTTTCACTCCAAATAGGCTCTATATGAGTTTTTGTATAATATGTCATGCTAAAATGAGTTTTTGAATAAATATCTCTTGGTTTTTTTTTTATTTTTATGTATAGGTAGATGGGTTTTTTTTTTTTTGGCCCCATGTTATGATCACTTCACACATCCAAATTAAGCATGTGCTCTAATTGGCCCCATGTTATGCACGACTAGGCCTAAAAGTACTAGCTTGAGGCGGCAATATTTCATTTATTCATATCTTTGCTCATTTTATATTCTCATTTATTTGAAACAAGTAGAAAATTCAACTGTACTCAAAAGTTGCGATAATAATTGGTATATGTTGTCTTTTTCGCTGAAGAGCTTGACAGATTATGAAAGGTCCAAGCCCAGTCCGGGAGTTGGTTGAATTGAACACGAGAAAAGTAGCCCGTACCTCCCACTTGGGAGTGTTATTTTCGTCAATGTAGAGACAACCCGATTCCATTCAAACTTTTACGGCATGCATGTCTCCTGACTTTTTCCTAGTTGACAAAACAACAAAGACTTTTCCTATCTAATTCTCAAAATCAGAGAGGTTTAGGTTATACTTGGAGCTTTGTAATACGAGTCAATTAAATTAATACAAATTTATAAATAAACCCAATCCTAGACATGTATTTATAAAAAAACCCAAGCACTATTTAAACATAGAAACACACCCAAAATCAACCCCAAAGTCAACTTTTTGGGTGTGTTTATAAATGAGTTTTGAGTGTGTGTAATGATGGGTTTTGGGTGTGTTTATATGTTTAAATAGTGCTTGGGTTTTTTTATAATTTCAACCCCCATTTTGGGTGTTTTAGTGAAACTCCCATTATTTTTCGTCCGTTTTTGAACAATTAATGTACCATCATCTACATTGGCCAGGCCAGCTCAAACATTAGGTGAACATAACACGTTCATTTAATAAAACTCAAAACGGGGCCAAAGATTTTTCTCCAACTTTATTTATTAAAATAAAATAAAAATCTAGTAAAATTCTTCATTATATTTCTCAGAAACAGAAAAGAAATCCAATAATTAATTTCAATACTCTCAAATGGGGGTGGCCATCAATCCGGATGAACCCATTGAACTAACTGATTCAAAATGTGATTATCTGGCCTGGTTTTGACCAAAAAATATAAGTTCAAGACCGAACTGGACCATTAATAATTTGGTTTGATTTGGTTTTGAGCTTTTGCAAGTTGGCCTAAACTGAATTGGAGCGTTTACTTGTATACTTATTTATTTTTATTTTATTATACGCTTGTAGTCTTCTCATTGAATTTTAACTAGATATGAATGTTGAATTTGAAGTTTAATGGAACTTTGAAGTTATTGATATTTGAATTTTAGCTATATTAGTTATTGAACTTTGAAGTTTTATGACATGTTGAGTTTTAGGATGGTTTCATGTGCTAGGAAATGAGAAGAAAAAAAAAGGTGGCAAGTTGTGAATTTTGTTGTTGTAATTGAGCGAACAATCTTAAAAAAATGTAAAAGGAGAAAGTATTAGGCTTAAGCGCAAACCAGGCGAACCAAATCAAACCAAAATGTCTTAAATTAGATTGGTTCGATTTCCTCTGTGATTTTTGTGAAACTCGACCCAAATCAAACCAAATCGGAACCAGGGGGTGGGTGAGAGTGAGGCTATCTGCCACTGAGCAGATCTGTTTGTACTTGAATTTATTTTGATTTGCAAACTAGAGTTCGAATATTTAAGGCATGCCTTGCATTTCATGGTAGCTACAACACTAGTACAGTATATCTTGGATAATGGAGTCATGTGTTCATCAGCCAAAATAAATCAATTTTTTGATATATATGAATATCACTTGATATATATGTATCCGAAAATAAACTATAATATCTAAGTTCTACTTCAAATAATTGTTTGCGAGTCCTTACTTAGTTTGGATTTTGATTCCTTACTTATCTGAATAAAAAAATGATATCTGAGAATTCCCATACACTTTGTTTGACAATAATAACACATTTTCAATGAGGATGTATGACAGATGAAATTACATACTTCACTCTCTCGTCCATTTCAATGAGGATGTATTACAGATGAACTTGGAGATGAACTAGAACAGGAATTGATTAAAACGATTAAATCAATTAATGGATGGCAATATGAGCAGATTAGGGAAACTGAGGGTAGAACGGAACTAGAGACAATTGATTGATGGTTGATGGCCACCATCGCCTATAGGGCGGTGGGGGCAAAATGACATAATTAAATTAAGGGGAAAGAATGAATTAAGAGTTATTACGAGTTAGTTGGTTAAATGAATTGACTTTGATGCCTTTTAAAACATTGAAAGTTAGATTCTCATCTAGTAAAATTTTATATGGTTTAGCTTGGCTAGAGTAGGTAACATGTGGTGCATTATACGCATGCCCTACACCGTGAAGGACATGAAAAACATGATTTCTCTCGGAGATGTTTTGATGGGAGTGATCTAATTGTTAAAGAATAATCTCTGTAATTATGCTTTCCAAGTAGATGTGTAAAATCCAAGTTGAACGTATAGGATCAAGACTTTCATATATCTAACGTCAAAGGAGGGTGGAGGTCAAGGTTGGGTAAGATTAGGTAACGAAAATGTCAATTTGGGAATAATAAAGGCAATGGGGAGTAGGTAGGGAAATATGTTTGGCGATGACAATAGCACCATTTGTTTATTATTATGTGATTAAAATTGCAATCCTGAATTGACTGTTTCGACTTTCTTCAATGTTAAATACCTTTCTCTTCAGTATCTAATACAAAAGTTTGGCAAACATTTTTTAGCGTAGGCCATTGCAAGTGGATTGTTGGAGAGGCGTGCAATTTGTTATTTAATGAAAATATACATTGGCGCATGCAATTTGGGATTGGGCCAGTTTTTTCAATCTTGGACAAGACCATTAATCTTTTCAATTTTCATATGCATGAAAGGAAATGCAACGTTTCCTTAAATTATTCCCCCGTTTTCCTCTGTTTTAGAACTTAATGACTGCTTTAGCCAATGGGAGAGAAGGGGTTTCAAACCGCTGGTTCAATTTGTGTTGTAGAGAGAGAGAGAGATGATGGCTAAGGCAGATATCAATGGCAAAGATCGTAGATGGTCTCTTCATGGAATGACTGCTCTTTTCACCGGAGGAACGAAAGGGCTCGCGTTAGCCTTCTCTTTCAATTTCCTAGCTTATTTTTTCAATCTGATCGTTAGTGCTTTCTTCTCAAAAAGAAAAAGGGACATTTTGGAAAAAGCAAAAGGAGAGAGAAAATTTTTAAAAGAAGCAAAAAAGGACAAAAATGCCCTTATTTATTTTTAGATTTCCTAAGGAATCCAATACATTTGCATGTCTTTGATTTGAAAGTTGAGTGGTTTTTTTGTCTTTTTTGAAAAAGCTTTGGCTTTTTCCAAAAGTGAAAAAAAATTTATGTCTAAAACCTAAAAAACCTAAAGAAAAACCTGTAACATGCATGATGCATGTAATGCATATCGAAAATACCTCTAGTACATTTAGAGACATCTAACGTTATCAGACAGTCTACTAAGTGAACATTAATTTCTCTCTTTCCCACCTTTTTTTTATATATGGAACATAATTGCATAATATATATAGGCATGCTATTGTGGAGGAATTGGCAGGGCTAGGTGCAATTGTGCATACTTGTTCTCGAAATGAAGACCAGCTCAATGACTGCTTGAGTCAATGGAAGATGAAGTGTTTTCATCAAATCATTGGTTCAGTATGTGATCTGGTGTCAAGAGCCCAACGGCAGGAGCTAATAAACGAAGTCTCATCACAATTCAATGGGAAACTTAACATCCTTATAAGTACTCCATTCATATAAGTTGTATTTGTTGAGCCAAAACAAACAATTTGTAGGCCAGTTGACTAGGACAGTAAGCCGCTCCCTTACACCCAAATTCGAATTCCCTTCCCAGTTGGAAGGCTTTTGTTTGTACCATATCTGACCCCCCCCCCAACTCACATCATGGCATGTGGAGCATAAACAAGGCATAGACCAGCTCAGTGGGCCATGCTGAAAGGTCGATCGGCATACTCCACCGTTTCATACGTGGTCGGCAGGTCGGCACTTTCCCGCGCAACTTAGAGATGTTGCGCGGGAAAGCGCCTACAACTAACACCCTCACCAACCTTCGGCACATAATACCGAGCTATCAGTCAACACATTCAGCCGATTCTGAGAGATAAAACCTCGGAACTCCCGCTAGAACCTGTCAGGGCACATGTCGACCGTCGAAGACACTTCCACGAGTCCCACATCGAAACTAAGTACTAAGAGCATCACAAATGCTCTCTATAAATAGAGCCCCTTGGCCCAGCCAAGAGGTAAAACATTTTACTTGACTTATGCTTTCACTCTGTCAATAGAATTGCTCTTTGTCATTAACTTTGGCATCGGAGGGTCTTTTGCCGGCACCACACCGGTGTCCCATACCTCACTTGTCGTTTCTTTCTCTAGGCCGAATCCAGCACTACGCCCTAAGAAAGGACTCTACGGACCGAAGGCTCCTCGGGTCCAAACCCCCATTCCACCTGTAAGTTAGCTCTATTTTTATCTGTTTAGTTTTAGCGCGAACAAATTGGCGTTGTCTGTGAGAAACTTGATTGACAATCAGCCCATATCTCCTTTTCCACCTCACTATGGACCCACTTTCCCTCCTCACGACCGATGGTCCTATCATCGGCCTCGCCAGCAGAGCAAACCCCGCTGCACCGCCCGGCACACACTAAGTGGAAACGCCAAGACGGCAGAACAACCTAGAGGATAGGATGGAAGCCCTGCAGCAGGAAATGACGAAAATACAGGAACACAACAACATTTTTTCCTCCAAATTGGACAACACCCAGAAACAGCTTCACGAGCAGCAATCACACTCGGCCTAACTGCAGGATGGTTTGGAATAGACCCTACAGCTTCGGCAGAAGCAATCACTCAAAAGCGTACCAAAGCCTAGCGGTTAGGAGAGAGAAAACAACCGGCCGTAGGCGGACCGTCAGTTTCCCGAAGGCTGTTCGTGCCCTCTCTAGAGGAACGCCACCGGGAATATCGAGTCTACTCCGATTGTTGCGACAAACTCAACAATCGGCATAGGGAACGGTGGACTTCCCTGATTCCAGTCCAAGCAAAACTCAACGATCTTATGCTAGTCGACAACATCATGATCATCCAGACAAGAACACCAATCAACCAAGGAAAATGACTGGCAAAAATGAGGTCCTATCAGAAGGTCCGACTGAGCGGCGGGCCGCGAAACACAAAGACACGATGTTCGCCTTCCAACCGGCCTCCAGACGTCTGAACACTTCTGCAACGACCTCCCTCCGACAGATCCCATCATTCGCCTCCTCCTTCAGAAAGTCAATCAGATCGAGGAAGAACATAACCAGATTCGAACACCAACCTGGGGAAAGGTACAACCAGGGCCATTCACCAGGTGAATCCGAATATACTGACATGAAAAGGAGTTCCAGGCACTCCGAATATCATTCTACATAGGAGTAGAAGATCCTGTGACACACATTCATACCTTCCAAAAGGCCCTAGGTTGCAAAAGGCTCACCGATGAAGGCCAATGTCTACTATTTCCATCCACCTTGGCCGGAACGGCTCTGAATTGGTTTTATCGATTGGAGCTAGGTACAGTAGACTCTTTCAATCCATTAAAACAAACTTTCCTTAATCATTTTATGATACAGACCGATCACCTTTACTCTGCCGACCACCTTTACACCATTCGGTAAGGAGATGACGAGCCTCTTCGGAAGTACGCAGCCAGATTCAACCATGAATACTCTCGGTGTCCGGAAACCGACAGGAGGAGTAGAAAGCCTTGAAATAAAAGGAAACATCGAAGCTAACCATAGGAGGCCTGAAAAAAAAAATAATAATAATAAAAAGCTAACCACAGGAGGAGTGCATATATCCCCCAAACACTTTCTACTCCTTACGTATCAATCGTTCTTAAAATATAAAAAAAAAAATTAAAAAAAAAACTTCATGTCTTCTTTTTTCTCTTAAACTCTAATTTTCTGGTAAGTAATCATCATCATTCATCAATCTCTCTTTGGTTCTTTTTCCAATCCTTTGACAATTTTTGTTATTATTTCAATTTCAGGAATTTCAACACCAAAAAGAGAAAACCCTAATTCCTAAATTCATAAAGACCACTCAAAATCAAATAGTCAGATTCAAATTTCAAGAATTGTGTGCAACTACTCTTTAATTTGTGATTGCCAATTGTTTCTCCTATTAAACACAGATTGCTTATTGGAAGCAGTAAGGGACCTTGTAGGGGCACAATGAGCTTATTTTTGTACCAAACATTTAATTTTGTCAAATAGAAACATTTAAATTTTTATGAATTTGATTTCTAATTGTCATTACATATTTATTCATGGTGACTTTTAGTTATAAAAAAATTGTTTATGACATTAAGTTATGGCAAATTTTTATTTATTTTATTTTCATATTAGATGTGAGGCCCCAATTTAAGTTTCGCACAGGGCCCACAGGGCCCTCAGAATCTCAGGGATGGCCCTAATCATAATTAAAACTTTTTTTTTTCCCACGATTGAGACTTTAACGTCGTTTGTCTCGTCTCCATATTTCACTTTCTTGTTTTGTCGTTCCCCTTTAGTTTTTTATTTTTTGAGGTGAAATGGGGTGGAAAAACCTAAACAAACATAAGAAACTAATTTGCATTGCACAAATCGTCGCTCCCCTCATTTCACTTTATTGCATCCTCACTTTGTTGTTTGGCTGAATTCATGTTCATTACAATATTGGTTTTAGTTCTAGAATATCAACAACGTGCTAAATTAATATGAATCCTAAATCCTCGGATAATCTGATTTGAATTTTCTTCTTGTTCAATTAATTCAAGTTGTCTAATTAGTTTGTTTAGAGAAGTCGCTAAAAGCCCCAATCAACCTAGAAGACGATCTCTGGATCTTCGGCAACGGTGTAGTTTGGATTTGACACCACATAATCGTTGTGTGTGTCCAGCAGCTCCAATGAGGCTTTAAGCACGGAAAGCCAAAGCCGATCTGTGTCCGGATCAGCTTCGAATCATAATAATGAGTTATGATCTAGTAGCAAGAAGAAGCAAAGCGACGATGTCTCACATTCGCCAGCCAAATCAAGATGGGATCTAGTAGCAACAAAGCGACGATTCAACGTCAGCTTGTGGCAATTGTCGGAGGCTTCTATCCTACAATAACAACAATGGTGACCAATTTTCACTAGTATTGAGAAGAAAGTCGTTCTTGGCCATTAATGATGAAAAGAAGCGATCGGCAAAACCAAAGGAGTAGAGAAGGGGGATGAGTTTACGGCTTATTATGAAATGCACATAAATTCAAGTAATGTAAATGTAAAGGCTCAGGATTCATGTGTCACATCGTGAATTGGTACCTTCAATCTTTTTGTTGAAGAGTTTGACCAATTATGAAAACTATGTTTATACTGTAAGAAGGTTTATTACATTAAACCTACTAAAGTGATCTTCTAATCAAATTAGGATTACTAAGACTTATTGTTTATTAGGAACTCAAAACCTATCTCGATTAGGCAAGCCTCAAACAGTGTTTAATAAGGATAATGAAGGCTTAAGGGTTCCTAGTTCTACAAGGATTGAAATGGATTAATCCTATAGCATGAAGGATATCTCTAAGTGTT